CTCAGTTTCATAGTTTTCTTGAACTCAGTCGCGGTAATACACAAGGATATTTTTTTCAATTTTTCATGACTTTTTATTTGAACTGCGGTTTATCATGATAACGCCATGATAGTCGCCAGCCCCATTATGAGCACCAATTACCTATGAGCTAATTACTCTTCCATCTCGTTCAATTCCCCTTGAACTATTATGAATTTATCAATTAGTAAAAAATTGAATTAAAAATTAGTTCATATGGGACCTTTACATGGCAACGTCAGTACAGTGGTTAGCAGAACCTGTTGCCATCCACTCAATTGATGGTTTAAGCACCATCGGGGTTAGAGTTCTTCTTAAAAATTTAAGCTACTGCTTCTTAGCTTCTTCGAAAAAAAAAGTTGGGATCGGTTAATTATCAGTTTTTTGTGAAAATTATCATTAGAATGATGTGAAATAAATTTCATAAGCTTTGTTTTGTAACTATTGACTTTTAAGCATAAAAACGCCAACATTTGTCCAGTCTTAAATGTTTTCTTAAAACAATCCCTTCCTGTTAATTGTTTTGTTTGAGTTCCTAAATGGAAAGAAAAGACAATAATCAAACCTTTTGTTTTTTCTTTGTCTAGTTCTCTGAAATCGATAACAATCAATAAAAATTAAGAAACTGATCGTATTATTACCAATTTTGAAGCCCTAAACTATTTTTGTAGTTAGTAAAAGTCATTAGTGATGCCGAATGCACTATATAGGTGCACTGTTATCTGTGTGTAGGTGTCTGTAATCCTTTGGCATGTCTTTAAACATGTTAAAAACTTTTTGGCACGATCAGAGAAAACACAAGAAGAAAGAAAATCTAAGAGAGCCGTGTTATCGTGGAATGTATTTGAATAGAACAAAACATGCAGTTTAGCCTCGTAATAATCGACTGTTTTCATCTTGATATCAAGTTTTCATTTGGAAGAAATTTAAATCTTAATAATCATTTATAATGTGTTGTTATGTTTTTTAAGCTTTTTTTTTCTAAAAGGTTTTCATTTATTGAAAATCATTTTGAATTTAGCTTAGTTATTTTGTTGTTTCATTCGATTTCAAAGTTTTCCTGAACCCTATCGCAGTTTTATAAAAGAACTTTTTTTCCCAGTTTCTCATGACTTTTTATTTGAATTGAGGTTTATCATGTCAACCTCAGTTTTATTCGCCAACTTTAAAATCTCTTGTAAATTTCAAGCTTTTTCATAAACTTAAGTTTTTCTGGGTGTTTTGAAACGGTATAAAGGTTACTGCACTCAATTT